CTGGGGTGGCTTGGAGACCCCTGAGCACCAGTGGCCTTGACATCCCTGATGCATTATCCTCTGGTCCTAAACCCATGGCTTTGTTACCTGAATATCACTAAGAACAGAATACTACTTGGGAGATGAAATAGATATTACATATTATATATAAAGCATAAGCAATGTATTTTACACCCATGTAGATATATAAATACATTAATATGAATTACCCTGGAAACGTGTGGTAAAAGAACAGTAATTTTTAGGATGTGTGTAGTATATTATATCGCATTTACATAACATAGCACCATATAAGTAGTGTTTTAAAACATAGAACACACATGTAATAGTATACCATCTTCTGGGGACATCAGAAAAATTATAAAAAAGTGTGAGAAAAACATACTTCTAACATATAAAAATTATTTCTGCAGTGGAAAAGAAGGTCAATCAAACTAAGCATTACTGTGACCAAATACCGAGATTTGCTAAATAATGTGTTTAAGGACATTTGTTAAATGATTTTCCACTTTTTAAATATTTCAGTTAAAATTATGTTTTCATAAGAAGGATTTCCAATTTGGCTTTTGGACGATTTTTTATTGCTGAATTATACTTTTTAAAATTTCTGATGAAAAATTAAAAAAAAATCCAGAGGGTTCAGTCATTAATCTAAAACTTCATCTTTATTGAGCATATGCTGCCACCTAGCAAAACTTCCCAGAATATTTTAACAACCAAGCAGAAAATGTTTTTTCTGACGTGGATTTGGATTTTCTACTTGAGTAAGAAAATTATATAAAATGCAATTTCATATAATTATAAAATCATACTTCAGTTATTAAAGTAGAGCTTTTGTAGTTTCCACATGTAGTTTTTGACAGTCTTATCTTTTACAAAAGATGGAGGCAAATCATTTTGTTCTCTGGCACTTCAGTCCCCAAACTATCAACCTATGGAAAATTTACAATTTTCTGTTTTGCAATGTTGTTGGTAATTTCCAACCAAGAATACAATGATGACAGTTTCACATTATGGTCATGGACCTGTTATGAAATCAAAGTATCTGAACATATTTACCTCCTGATTTTGATTATACCTATGATTGCTATGGAAAGAAAACAGAAGATTAGAGCAAAACCAGTACCAATCATGTAAATTCTTTTTCTTTACTCACTAAAGGCTATGGCACTGCTGTTTTCAACTGTGTTTTTGTTTTTCTAACTTAAAGGGAGAAAAAGAGTCAACATTTAAAAGATCTTTCTTCCTCACTTGCACATTAGGTGCTCAAACTGCACTATGCACACTTTACTGGTAAATACTTATCATTTAAGTATGGCGATGGTTATGGATATTGCTATAGGAAATCAATCAAAGCCAACTAAATGTTCTCGTAACTCAGTGAAAACGGAATTTTAAAAAGTAAATGGAATTTCATAAAGTAAAAATGTGACAGTTTAGTTTTCAGGAAAGGAAAAGCAGGCGGGATAGATAAGGGAGTAAGATGCTGGGGTTGCAAGTGGCTGACCTGGGTTTGATCCCTAAGCACCTTATACTGTGCCCCACCAGAAGGAAACCCTCAACACAGCTGGGGGTAGACCTCTAAATAAGTAAGAAAGAAAATACAACATTATATATTACTTCAAAAGGAAAAAAATGACTTTAAGAACCTAGAGTTGGAAACTTTCATAAATGTCAGTTTTTGTCCTTGAAAAAACTGAAAAGCACAGAATAATTAAGGGTAGAAGACAGTGCAACTTAGCATGATATAATGGAATGTGCTGCAGGCAGGATCTCCCCCACATCCCCCCTAAAGACATTCTAGGAAACCAAATATAATACAAACTAGAAAGCTATGTAACTTTTGGTGGGGGGATGAGGTATACCTAGGGTGCTCAGGAGCCCATCAAGAAAAATTTGAATTTGGTTCAGGTTTAGTGGGACACAAGGTAAGTGCCTAACACCCTGTACTATCTCTAGGGCCTATCACTAGAACCTTGCATTGTTTTTTGAAAGAAAAATAATCAAAATTTATGAAGCATGGATTTGTCAAATTTGGTATGAGAACCAATATCCCAAAGATAATACCACAGATTTACAAACTTTTATGAATATTATGAAACCTACAGATCTTTCCCAACAAAGCAATACAAATAACAATTAACACAAGTTTAGAAAATAACAGGCCCCTGGAACACCCTTCTAAATCCCAGTTGAGAGATAACTTATAATGAATCATAAAATATGCCATAAGTTTCTGATTCAACAGGTAAGTACTGAGGATACATGTGGTGAACAGAACTTGCATCAGGTAAGTAAGGGGGAAATAAAAAATCTTTTGTTTCTCACATTTGCACACAGAACATGAAGCAATTCTTACAAATTTAAAAGATTAAAAAAGTGCTGCAAGAGCTTACACAGGGAAAAATGAAAATCAATGTTTTTCTTTTAGAATGTGACAATAAAGTAAGTATGAGATGGGTGTAAAAGGGAAATAGATAAAGGTAAAAGCAACAGTTTGCGCACAGGATTTTGAATATCACAACTGAGCTGCAGCAGGAAATCAAGTGAAAATAGACAAAATAGACTGGAGGACCCTACAGCAGATATGGTGGGACATATAACACTGACTAGTCTGAATTATTTAACATTTCAAGGTAACAATGAATTTGAACTTAAGGTATGTTTCTTCCTGAACAATAGTTATTTTCACCAGTTTTCTGAAACAGTTTCTTTGTTTCAGTAAGTTATTTTGTGGAAATGACATTAGTCCTCTGTCACTGTCACTGTCCTCCCGTTGTTCATCTGCTCGAGCGGGCCCAGTAACATCTCCATTGGCGACTTTGTTGTTACTGTGTTTGGCATATTGAATACTTCACGGGTAGCTTGCCAGGCTCTGCCATGCGGGCGAGATACTCTCAGTAGCTTGCCGGGCTCTCAGGGAGGGGCGGAGGAATCGAACTTGGGTCGGCCATGTTGGCTGCGTGCAAGGCAAATGCCCGACCGCTGTGCTATCACTCCAGCCCTCTATTAGTCCTCTATTTGTTCCATATACTTTTCCCCTAACTTCTTTTTTAAAACTTTGTCCTGTTTTCCAATTTTTTGGTGGACAGGTCTGTATTTCTTTTCCCATTGTAGATTTCCTCCCATTCAATTTAAATTTTAAGACAGTTCATCTTCCCCATTTCCCCCCCTCCTATTCCCCTCCTCACACTGGAACATGTAAGTAGGGATGTGTTTACTTTCTCATTTGAAAGTTCCTTTAGTCACCCAGCAAACATTCATTGAACACAGATGTTGCAAACAGAAATTACACACAAAAAGAAAGGGGCAAACAAGTGTTTTGATCATAGAAAGCACTGTGGCAGTACAAAAGAGAAACCCATAGCCTAGAGGAGGTGAGTTAATAAAGACTTATTTGGTTTTGTTTTGGGGCCACTTCCAGCTGTGTCAGGGCTTACTTTCTGCTCCATGTTCAGAGAGCACTCATAGTGGTGCTTAGGGGACTAGGGGATCTAACTGGATCAGGCACTTTGCAAGACAAGAGCCTTAACATCTGTGCTCTCTCCTGAACAGTAAAGAATTCTTGAAGTCGAATTTTAAACTGTTGTAAAGAGGAGTGACTATGAACTAAGAAAAGAGCCTTAAAGAGTGGTATTAGTCATCTGTAGTCAGAGTAGCTTCAAAATTTTTAGAATAAAAATTCACTCGTATTTTTGGTGAATTCCCAAGGCCATCAGGGCCTTTTATATATATCACTGTACTATGATAGAAAAAAAAAACTATGTTTAATGGAACTAGCACGAGCTTAATGTGTGTTCACGGAAAGCAACTTCAAATCCTTCTTTAACATATCCTGTATTTCACAGGTGAGTGAAACCCAGAACCAGACTTCTTCTTAGCACATCACTAAGACAAGAATCTATTTAAGTTTTCTTTTCACACATTATTGACAAGTTCTCCTCTAAATGGGGGCCAACTGTCACTATACTATTCCAGGGGTTTCGGACTACTGGCCTTTCCCTGCTTATACCTGCAGTCTTCCTCCCCTGACCCCAAACCACGGTTGCAATCCCCCCCCTTTTTTTTTTAAAAAAAAAAAAAACACTTCCTGGCCAAGGTCGAGCATCCTTCACTTGCACTCGTTTTTCCTGGGCGTGGTTTGCATCCCAGTGCAAGGTGTTTGCAACCAGGTTTGTCTCACAAAGCCCTGTGAAATGAATGAACAGGGCCTTGTGCACTGCACTGACCCACTAAAAGAACAGAGGACAAAGAACAACTTAAATCCGTGGCTCTGGGGCTCTAACTGGATCCTCCCATTTCCAGCTTGAAGTCACGAGAGGACACGACTTTTCCTGAACGACCGGCAAGAGAGGCCGTCATGCTAAAACGTCAAGGCGGAGGCGCGGCGGGCCAAAGCCGGGGCAGGGGCTGGCTGGGTTCGAGAGAAACTGAATCATGGGGCTGGAGGAGTCAAGTCTGACGAGCCTCTGGCTCGGGGTCTGCGGGACGTGGGAGGCAAAGGAACGGACGGCTGGCTCGAAGGAATGAGGCTGTGAGCGCCGACCACTCAGAAGCGACAGCCGCATCAGCCACTTCCTTGAGCGACAGCCGTCACGTTCGGCCCTTTAAATGCAAGGTCTGGGCGACGGAGTGGGGGTGGCGGGGGAGCAAAGACCAGGCAGGTTGCGGTTCATTTCTCGTAACATTGAGAAGGGACTGTCGGGAGATTCACTAGACTGAGGACGGAAGAAAAGATGAAATGATCTTCTCTAGATCCCAATGACAGCCATCGGGCCAGCGGCCTGGAAACACCTCCCGCTTCCAACAACCGAGAAACCGAGTCCCCAAAGCCCGGGTCCAACTTCCGGTGCGCCCGCCGGGACCGTCCAAGTCACTCCTCCAGAGCGCCCTCCCCAACCCGCACCGCGGCTGGCAGACGCGGCCCGTCGCAAGGACGCCGGGGAGCCGGTGAGAGGGCCCTCCACGTCGCCCCACAGTCCCCGGACCTCAGCGCTCACCTCATTGTTGAGGTTCAGTGTCCCCGGAGGAGCCACGTTAGATGTAGGTAGAGGTTCCACCGCTGCCGGCACGTGAGGAGCTGCCGCCATAGCTCGGCTGCGTGGCCACGCCTCCAACGGTGGCCTCTTCCGGCCAAATTTCTTCCGCCGCCCCGCCCACAGATGCGCGAATGAAAGCGACCCGGGGTGCCGAAGAGGCCCGAGAGGAGCTGAGGAAAAAAAAAAAAAAAAAACAGCTGCTGGGCGGAGTCAGCGCACCCCACCAGCTGGTCTCCATGGAAACCAGGCACTGGCGCTGCCCCCTCGGAGTGCCCCGCGCGCGCTTTTTTGCCAGATTGCCATATTCTTTTCATTAGTGTATAAACCGGGTTAGGGACCTAGGTTTGGTGTGTGTGTCTCTCGATAGAGTGTTAATATTGATGAAAGAGTATTTTGTGAGAGGTCGCCCGGAGTGAGCTGTTTTTGCTCCATTTTTTTTTTTTTAAATCAGGTGTTTGTAAGGACTCCTGGGTTTCCAGCAAGTTCTCCGCTGTAGATTCAGGCTTCTATTCCGACTACGCTCTTTCTAGTCCTACTTCCCAGCTCCCCGAAGGAAGGGTTCCATTGAGCTGCTGAAGTGAGTCTCGGTGACAGAACGTCCTCTTCCAGAGCTGACGCTTGTGCGAGGTATCTCCAGGATCCTCACAGAAATCCAACGAACTAGGAACTCCCCTTCTTTTCCAGAAGTGGACCCTGAAGTGTCTTGCCCCGAGTTGACCCAGCGGGGGCTATCATTGCCACCCGGCTCGCCCACCTGGTCCACGAGCTGCAGGGCCCAGGAAAAGGAAAATTCTAGAAGCCCCCTTCCCACACATTCGGAAAAACGGTAAAACGTTTCTTTATTCCGCGGTAACCCTCCCACGTGACGTTTTTCACTTGAGGTTTTAGATGGTGCTCCCTCAAGCACGAGGGACTCTCAGAGCAGCCTGGGACATGCATCCCAGACTAAGGGAAGGGTGTATGTGTTGGCGCAAGAGGACAGCAGTGGCAGGGGTAGATGGTGGGTAGCTAGAAGCCCAGCTGGGGAGGATGTGGGGGCAGGCCCACAACTGACCCAGACTTAGGTTCTCTTCTCGATGTAGGTTCTAATCTTAACGGAGGTTCTATTGTCCCACTGGACTTCAGTGACATAACACGGATTTACAGATAGAATACAGTAGTAGTAGGATCACCAAAAAAGAAAAAAAAAACCCTAGGAAAATATGAAACTGGTATATGACCAAAATAAAACACTATAGTAAGTGACTTTTGAGAAATGAATTAATATGAATTGCCTGACAGAGACTTTAAAAAATAATCTTTATAAGCTCAGTGATAAAAGGCCAGAAATATAAAGCCTAATGGAATCAGAAAGATAATCCTTACTAAAAAGAGAAATTAAAAATACATTTTAATCATTAAAAAAATCCTTAAATTAACATAGAAACTATGTACCTTTAAAGTAATGAAGGACATGACAAGCCGACTACCATGATACTTAGTGGTAAAAAGTTGTAAGTTCCTTCTTTAGTGTTAGGAAAGAAAGAAGGACACCCTCATTCATCACTCTATTTAACATAGTTCTTGAAGTCCTAGGGAAAGTGATTGGCAAGAAAATAAAATAAAAGGTATTTAAGTTGGAAATGAAGCATAGCTATCTCTGTGGTGATATGATCCTATATATAAAGAACTCAAAAGACCACACAAAAACTGTGAGGACTAATACACAAATCCAGTCAAGTTGAATGATTTAAAAAAAAATCGATCACGATCAGGACCATCCTGTTGTTTGTCGATTACCTCGAGCAGGCCCCAGTAACATCTCCTTCGTCCTAGCCCTGAGATTTTTTAAAATGTGCCATATTCAAGGCTCTTTCAGGATTAGGAGAATGAGACCCATCATTGTTACTGGTATTTGGCATATTGGGTACACCACGGGGAGTTTGCCAGACTCTGCCATGTGGGCAGGTTACATTCGGTAGCCTGCCAATTTGTCCAAAGTAAGGATGAGATAATAAGATCTCAGGATCTGGGTTTTATAGTCTCTGGGTCTTGGCTGTTGATGGGATTACACGGCACCAGGGGGTCAGTTGGTGGGTGTGACCTCTGCCTACTGGAAGGTGGAGGATCTGGGTGGAGGATGCTCAGCCCCGATCGGAGCAGGCTTGGAGATCTCAGCCCCGGGACCCGCATGCCTTTGTTCCTCTGCCGGTACCTTGGTACCTTCATGCATGTGGAGAGTGGTCTCAGCATGGTGGTGGCTGGTTCTGGAGGTCTTTGGCTGCCGGAACCCTGGTCGGGGCGGGGAGGGAAACTCAATCTGCTCCCCTCCAAGGGACCCCAGCGAGGACAGCCAGGCGCGGGGGCAGGAGACTCTGCGCTGTTCAATAAACAAAAATTAGTTGTTTCTTTACACTTAAACTAGCCAAAATAAAGAAGATAATCCATTGACAATAGCATCAAAGAGAATAAAATGCTTAAAAGTAATGTAGTCAAGGAGATAAAAAGCTTGTACACTGGCAAGAGTAAAATGCTGACAAAAGAAATTTAACCAGAAACAGATCAACATCCTATATTTTGTGAATCAGAAAAATTAACATTGTTAAAATGTCCCTTAAAAATCCAAAGCATTTTACAAATTTAACACAGTCCTAGTCAAAATCTCAATAACATTTTAAGCTCAACTAGGAAAAACAACTGTAAAATATATCTGAAATCTCAAATACTCCTAAATTACTAAAAAAATTTTGAACAAGACAATACTGCAATTCACAAGCATCCTGATTGCCAAATATATGACAAATCTACATAAATCCTAGTAGTGTAATAATGGAATGAAAATAGACACATATGCCAATGGAACAGAATAGAGTCCAGATGTAAACCCACAATAGAAAGTCAACTGATTTATTACAAGTATGCAAAAAGTACACAACAGAGGAAAGATAATATAGTGTTACTAATAAATGAAATTGGCCCTTTGCTTCTCCCTCCTCCATACAAACAGGAAGCCATTAACAAAATGAAATGGCAACCTACTGAATAGTTATAGTTTTATATATAAAAGTTTTATATATAAAACTTTCTATATATATGTAAAGTCACTGTCACTGTCACTGTCCTCCCGTTGTTCATTGATTTGCTAGAGCAGGCCCAGTAATGTCTCCATTATAAGACTTGTTATTTTGTTTGGCATATCAAATACGTCACGGGTAGTTTGCCAGTCTTTACCGTGAGGGCAAGATACTCTCGATAGCTTGCTGGGCTCTCTGAAAGGGGCAGAGGAATCGAACCTGGGTAATGTATGTATGTATGTGTATATATATATATATATGTATTTCCAAATCCCATACCTAAAAGAGGGTTAATACATATAATAAAGGGCTCATAATTCAATAGCAAAAGAAAAATAACCAAAGTTAAAAAGAACAAAATTTCTGAGTAGAAATAGCTCCAAATAACCAGCAGCTATATGAAAATGCATTTTTATCAATAACCATTCATGAAACAAATCTAAAACCTCAATGAAATACCACTTTACATCTACTAGGATTATTGGAATCAAAATAAACAATATTGCTGGTGATTTGGAATAAAGAGAAATTTTGTACGTGGTAGATAATTAAACTGATGTAGCCACAGTGGAAAAAGTATGAGTATTTCCAAAAGCTAATATCAAAATGTTAAATGATCTATCAATCCCATTTCTGGTATATAGCTTGAGGAACTGAAATAAGGATCTTGAAGACATATTTTCTCTCAGTGTTCACTGAAGCATTGTTTACAATAAAACCATACTGTTCTGATTACTATGATTTTATTATAAAACTTAGAGTCAAGAAATAGAATACTATTCAATTTATGTTTTTCTCAGAATGACTTTGGCTCTTTGGGAATTTCCTGCTTCATACAAATTTTATTAGTGCTTATTCTGACTCCTTGAAGAATGTCCTTGGAATTTTGATGGGAATTTCACTGAGTTTGTATAATACTCTGGTGGATTAAATGTCACTTAACAGTGTTAATTCTTCCAATTCATTAACATGGAATGTTTTTCCATTTCCTGGAGTCTTTTTCTATTTCTTTCATAAATAATTTGTAATTTTTTAACTATAGTTTTTTTAAAACTGCTTTTTAGGTTGATTGCTTAGTATTTGATTCTGATTCATTATAGAAAACAGTACAGATATTTCATAATAAACTAAGACTAGTTGTCCTAGTGATTCCACTTTTGGCATCTATTCTCAAAATACAAAATCACAAGTCCAAAAAGTATTTTTGCACACTTGTGTTCATTGCAGTGCTTTGTATAATAGTCAGAATATAGTAACAACCTAAATGTTCAATACTATGTAGCCACAAAAGAATAAATCATGTGTTTTGCTACAACTTAGAACAGGAAGGTATAATGCCAAGTGAAATATGCCAGAGAGAATGACAAGTACCAGATGATCTCACTCATTTGTACTATTTAGACAAGAATATAGACAATATCTATTGACAACAAACACTAGGTTCTGTGTTGCGGTGTAGACTGGCCATTGGCATGGTGGCAGCCCTTGGAGTGTGAGTGCAGCTGTCAGGGCTTTGGCAGGACAGGAATTTGGCCTACCCCATCCAGAGATTACTGGAGAGGTCTGAGTCAGGGACCAGGGTATAGGAGAAATTTTTGCAGCTAGTAGATCTCTTTGAGATTTAATTATGTGTCTCTGGAGCAGGGTAAGTAGATGAACTTACATAGAAGCTGTGGTGGAACTTGGGTGTTATTATTAGTTCTTCATAACAGATCGTAGTACAATTTCAGTTCCAGCTGAGAAGCACTACATTTGCTTTTGTTATTCTGACTCTGCAGTTTCAACTCTCTGTCCCCTGATGGCAGTGTTGTTCTCCAAATTTCACATTACATTTGAAACTTGGAATTGTAAAGAAAGTAACCTCAAAGTATGGCATATGGGGGGCATTTTGTGAATTAGAAGGAACTTCTATGAGTTCTTACATTTCTTTTATATCTAAGCCCTTAGATTTCAATTTGAGGTAAACTACTAAACAAAAATAAACCTTTTAGGTGAGCCACTAATGGATTTAA